AAAAAAAAAAACCCCCAAAAAAAAAAAAAAAAACAACAGCCTTTTGAATGACCCTAATATACTGTGAACCCAAACAAGGAGCCCTTTAAGGCACGCTAATGAAACGTGGCACCTCCTTTTTCTCGCCGCCTCATTATTATGGGCGAGGCGTGGAGCCAGATCCACCGGGGGAAAGAAAAAAATATTCGCGGACTTGAAACTGGTACCAAAAGGGTGGGTCGGGGGAGAGGTGCCGCTCGGAGAACCCCCTGGATCCCGGGGGCGTGCTGCTCTGCTTTTGATCTGGTCGAATTCCAGCCCTTTTCCAACCCCCCCCCGGTGTCCGTCTGTCCGTAGGTCGCCCACCCTCCCGGCTACCCCCTGTTCACCCTGCTGGCCAAAGTGGCGATGGGGCTCCTGCCCGGCGGCTCCCCCGCCTCCCGAGTCAACCTCCTCTGCGGCTTCTTGGGAGCAGCTGCCGCCTCTTTGCTTTTTTACACGGTTTTCAGGTAAAGTCATCCGGGGTGTTTTGCTGTTTGTCGGCTCGGGACGTTTCCGAAGGCTCCCTCTGTTCCCCCCTGGCCTTCGGACTAGTGTTTCCCCCCCTCCCCGTCCCTAATTAGTTCCTCTGATTAACCTAACAGCGATTTAATCTGAATTTGACCTTCTTTCTCACACAAAAGGTCCCCCTTTATTTTTTTCCCTTTCTTTTCTGTTAAATAATAATAATAGCAATAATAAAAAGTGCGCCCTTTCCCTTCCACAGACGTGACAGGTTGTTCAGGCTCATTATCACAAATCACCGCTCGGTTTAACTAACCAGAACTAATGAAGTTTGTCGTTCTCGAAAGATGCAGATGGTCTGTTTAAATTAACAGGATGAGCTTCACCTATCGGGAAACCGTGAACTTGGTTTAATTGCAGCTCCCGGCGGAGGCGGATGGGCAGTTGCCTGCCGGTGGTACCCAAGCACCAGGGAGAGCATCCCTGCCTTTCCCTGCTGACTGCAGGCTCGGGAGATGCCCGAGTCCATCCCTTCTCCCCGGACCTCTAACCTTGGGAGGAAAGGGAACAATCGGGATGCGCACGTGGTCGGGGTTGGGGGGGAGGTGGTTTGTTAACCCCGCTCGTCTTTGATGTGCAAGTTCTGGCTGCTCTTAACCTCAGCCTGACCCATATTTGAGAGGATTATCACAACCCGTATAAACAATTTCTGATGTTCTTTTGCAGGGAAAATAGGGCACGTTTTGAGGCTGCAAGTGATATCGGGGCGCTCCGGGATGAGACGGGGGCGCTCCCTCACCCAGATTATTTTGACAAAAGCCCTTTTCTCCCACCCGTCCCCAGAGCTGCGTCGCCCCTCAGGGAAACCTTCCCAGAGAGCGAGAGCAACCCAGAAATAAAAGCAGGAATAAATGGGGGGTGAAGGGGCCAGATCCTGCACAGCCTGAGAGCCTTGAGCTCACTTAAACTTTGGTCCATGGGGTCCAAAATCCCCCAAATCTGCTGCAGAGGAGTTGCTTTTTGCACCTCACCTTTCGCGTAGCATCAGCTCCAAAGTGCACCTACCGGAGTTGCTTAAGTAATTCCTAAATATTTCTGTAGGCATTTAAAGTGATTGCTTTTACTGGTGGGTAATACATGTAATTAAGTCAGCATTATATAATTTAATATCCTGTATTTTGCAGCGTATTTTGGGGAGCTGGAAGTGGCGCTGCCCTCCCGTGCACAGTGCCCGGCGCAGCGTCGGAGCACAACTCGATTGTGCTAAAAACTCCTGCGAGGAGTTGCCGAAGGTTTTTAATATTTGGTTTCTGATTTCTTTTTTAATGACGGTTATTCCCATTATTGCAGTTACTGTGAAGCTCTGCCCCAGTTTTTAGTTTGAACTGCAGCGAGACAGTTCCTTTCCTGCCCAGTTTGTTGCACATGAAATGATGCGATCGTCGCTTTGCAGAAATGAGGGTACGGGAGGCCAATGACAGGCTAAATTTGGGAATTATTTTGGGAATTACTTTTGCGCTTCTAAAGGTTTAATTTTTTGCTGTTGTTGTTGTTGTTTAATTGGATTTGGAAGACGGTGCTTCTGTCAGATTTAAAATTTGCACGAAGGAATGGGAAACCTGGAACCAAGAGATGATAAAAACTGTTAGGACTTATAGAAATTATTTCATAGATAGTGACAGGATGAATTATTCAACCTGGCAAGGATTGATTGTTTTTTTGAAAATAATTGTAAGGTCAATTTTATTTCCAAATTACAACATTACATTTTTCCTTTTAAGCACCTTAAAGCTGCTTTATTTTTTACAACATTCACTTGGCCAAAAAAAAATAATTTACTTTTGTTGCCTTTTTATCTACTTTAAAAGAAAAAAACAAAAACTAGCAAGTGTTCACTGCATGAAGCCATAACTATCTGAAGGTGATGTGGTGTCTTTTTAACTGAGCTTGTTTATCCTCACGAATCCAAATGGGTCTATCAAATCCCCCCTCATTTTTGCCTCTAAATAAAATCAGCTGACGGGGTGACCCCTGCGAGGTACCGGCGGAAAAATCAGCACCTGCTCCTCTTGCTGCGCCAAACGTGGACGTTAATATGAAAATATGTAGATGTTAGGAGCACAAATAATTGATGAAGTACACATCCTTTGGGAGCAACACGGTTCAAGTGGCAAATCTCCCTCCTCAAACAATAGCCACCCTTCAGCGGGGAGGAAGCCATCTCTATGGAAATGGGGCCGACGCTGCCCTATTGATCGAGTGAAGAAGACATTATACAATGTCAGTTGGGTTGTTACAATTTCATTTGTCGTCTGACCTGAACTTAACCTCTAAAACCTTTCTTTTCTCCCCACCAGCCGGGCAGGGTTGCTGTTTACCCTCGCCGGGTTTTTCCAGCGTCCCCGGACAGTAAATCTCTCTCTTTTTTTTTTTTTTTTTTTTTTTGTTGTTTTATTTCCCCATCGATTCTTTTTGTTCGAGTCGTTTCCCGAGTTTATTCCTCGGCGGGTCGGGATAATTTTGCTGCTCAAGGAAAGAGTCGTGGTTCCCTCCGTGGCCGGGTGGCGTTTGGGATGTTACGGCACGTGCGGGATTAGGATCGAATCTTTTCCTTAAACAGATTCCTCCTCTGCCAGGTGATGGCTGGCGCGATGCGCCGCACGTTTGTTTATTAATTTCATTATATTACAGTACATTATGTTATTCATTTAATTATATTTTTTTAAGCCTGGATTGTTCCTCTTAAAGCAAAATTGCGTCGAACCACATTGATGCAAAAAGCCCCTTTGTCAGTAATCCAGACTATTTCGGAGCGAGCCGTTCGCTCCTTTGAGTTAGTTCTCGAATACGGATTTTTCTTCCCCCCCCCCTGCACAGTCGTAATAAACCGCCTGTAATTATCGTAAAATGGCATTTACAAAGAGTTTTCTCAGACTGCTTGTAAGTGAGGCAAATAATTCATCTTTGCTTTGAAGGAGGGGGGAGCTGCTTTATGTTTTTAGGACTGAGCGAGCGCGGCTGTAGGATTGTTTCTTTAAACAACTATTTATTTGTTTTACTGTGGGAGGCAAAGCATAGCAAGTTTACAAAGTAAACCAATTATCTTCTTATAATATGATTGCCAAAGTGTCATTTTCTGCGCAGGGGATGCATTCTTTGCATTCTCTGTTGCAAAGAGAAATAGGATGCTTTCCTCTAAGTGCTTTTTCTTTTCCAGTGTACACCTTTCATAGTTTGGCTGTTTTGAGGTATTTAAATACACAAAGCTGTTTTATTGCAGGGGCAGTAGCAGAGTAGGTGGTGTCATTGCACAAGTGCTTCTAGTAAGTTTTTGCCAGCTTTATTCTGTCTGAGTTGGACACAGGGTTTGAAAAAGGGGGAAAATGTTGCATTAAATTAAGCCAGTCACGTTTCTTCATTTTGCTGTTCTGGGTATTGTATTAACTTTTGGACTAATACATTATACATATATTTATATATATATATATATATTCTCTGCCCCCTAAACCTTCCAAACAACACGCTGTGGATGTATTTAAAAACCAGAGCCAGCTCTTCTCCCACTGCCAACAAACAGCAGCGATAGTCGTGTTGCATAGTGAAATAATCAAAATTATTTTATCAGTTTGTCATCATCATAATGCTTTGGAAATGGCACTTGACCATCCTGATGGCACTGAGCTTTCTGGCTCCCGGGCTGTGTGTCCTGGAGCTCTCGTGGGAAGGTCCCTAGGAAGGACCAGGAGGATGGGTGACCTTCATGACCATCCCAGAGGGACCTCATGGCTGATGCTCCCTTAAAACTAACTGGTGCTGGGAAAAGTTGTCTTCTGCCTCTGCTGAGTGAGGAAATACTCCATATCCCTGGGGTTCATGGGTTTACCAGAGCAGAAGTCATCCCTGAACAGTTTGACCCCTTTTTTTTGTGACCATAGTGAGGGGAAGATGGAGGCTTGAGAGAGGAGCCAGTGCCCGCTCAGCTGGAGTGGGAAATTAAAAAATTGGGCTTTGAGGAAGGAGGAATCTCTTTGCAGGGCATATTTGGATTTTTCCAGATTACAGATTATCATAGATTACCGCTGTTGTAGCACAGCAGGAGGATCTTGGGCATTTGGAAAACAGATGTGCTTAGTAATAAGTAGTTACAAACTTTTAGGAGGGAGAGAAGAAAGGAAGTTACTCATGTACTAATTAGCTTTTAAAATATCTCCCCTGGCCTCTGGCTAATTGATCTTATGTATATTTTTATTTTTTTTCCCACTTGTCGCCATAATAAACCGGCGCCGAGTTTAGTCTGTTTGAAGACATTACCAAATCTGTTCATTTGCATTTGGCTCTAAAGTAGGCACATGAGGCTGCAGTAACTCTGCTTCGTTTGGAAGGGAGGGGAGGGGGGGGAGGAAAAAGCAGGGCAAAAAAAACCCTTTTTTTTTTTTTTTTTTTTTAAAGACTGAAGAGTCTTTTCTGACAGCTAGTCAGAGTTAGAATTAGTTCAAGGAAATGTTAATAATGCACTGCCTGGCTTAATCCCTTTGATATCACCAGGTATCCTCCTGTTCATGGGTTAATTGCTTTAAAAGCGGAGGCAATATTCTGAGCGGTGGGCCGCTTCACCTTTTCACAGCTGTTACCATTGAGTGACAACTAAATCCCATGTGTAAGATGAGGAAGAGCTCAATCTCCAATTGGGAGAAAATTTATGTAAACCGCAATCCCTTCAGAATGTGCGGAAGTCACAGACTTTCTTGATTTACTCTGCTTTTCCCAGAAAGCTCCATTGTTCCCTTCCCTAAGTCCCATCAACCCTTTGTAGCAGAATATCACAGCGGCGGCAGATAGCTTGAAATATATAAATGCTATCATAGCTCTGATTAATAGCGGCGCTTATGAGTCAAGTCTGATAACGGAGCAGCTCTCCACTCAATTTCAGATACCGCTAATGGAATCTGTCTCCTGCAATTGTAATGTGAGAAGGGCTAATTTGCCATGGAGCTTGGAGCTGTCA